GCTGGAGCCTCCGGGTGCTCCTCAAGGGAAGCCCCATGTAGAGAGCATTGCAGTAGTCCAGGCGGGAGGTCACAAGGGCATGAGTGACCGTGCGTAAGGCGTCCCGGTCCAGAAACGGCCGCAACTGGCGGATCAGGCGAACCTGATAAAACGCTCCCCTGGTCACGGCCGACAACTGGTCATCCAATGTCAACCGTGAGTCCAGGAGAACACCCAAGTTGCGAACCCGATCTGAGGGGGCCAAAGTTTCGCCCCCTATAGTCAGCGATGGAGTCAGCTGACTATGCCGGGGCGCCAGCAACCACAGCCACATAACAGACAGGATCTGATCCCGCTCAGATCAATAGGTTAAAAGTGTCCCAAGCAAACCCCACTCCAAGGTTCATCCAGTCAGTTCAAATGGGCCAATCCCCAGGTGTTAAGTCTGTTGTGGGAAAGAGCAGATGACGCCAGGCTGTCTCGGGGTTGCAGCAATGTTTTGTCAGCTCTTCACACCTTCCCTTCCAAAATGGAGATAAACCAGTTGCCAGAGGCGCAGTCCTTTCTTCTCCCCCCCCCCCTTTCTAACTGACATCAAGGAGAAAGATAGTTCACAGAGGAAGTATGCAGAAATGCAAAGTGTTACAGTGTACCGATAGAGGAAAACAGAGCAATAACCTGCAGTGCTTTTCCCCCCCCCTCCCCTCCAGGAGCATGGCCGAACCCAGAAATATAGAGAAAGTAAAGTTAAAGATAGAAAAGAGCCCCCTTAGAATATGGGTTCTGACAGTTGTCCTGTGCCTGACGTTGTGGTTTTTTTCCTTTCTTTCCTCCTTTGCAGAGAAGAAAAACTGGAAATATGGAGAGCAATCAGCAGCAGGAAAGGCTTAAGCACAACATTCCAAAGAGCGAGGGAATGGTTAGGAGGCAAACAAAAGTCGAAAGTGCACAACTGACTAGTCTTATGTCTTTCCCAGCTGGACAGTACAGTCACAGTCAGGTGATTTTCCATTTAGTGACCACTTAGTGATGGAATTGGTGATCCTAGTTAGGGTGGTTATGCGAGGACTAACTGTATACTAAACATATGAAACAGTACAGTACAACATTAGTATTGCTAAAGAGGCTGCCAAAGATGATAAGAAATGTATTTAAGGAATTTCTAGTCAAAACTGCTGCCTTTCCAAAGTAATTTATAATATCAAACTCGTAGCATCAGCATTCATAAACATCTAAATACTAAGCACATCTGATAATGAATGGTGGCCATGCACTTCCGCACTACCTCAGATCTCAAATCCAGAGAAGGGAGACTGAAGCCCCTCAGAACCATAATCCTGAGGAATTCCACTGCCCACCCAGGCAAAGTTCAGAAGTTCAGTCAGGGATGCTGCTACATTGCAGGGAGGAAGATAAGTGACCAGCAATCCTCACTGATCCCTATGGCTCAACTCAGAAAAAGGTCTCACATCTGGCAATGTCTGGGGCATAGTTATACATCAACCCTTCAAAGTAAACCAGGTCAGGAAACACTACAAGAAGTACAGGAATGATACTTTACTATGGTAAGAGGGGTCTTTGGTGCTCTCTGAGGCTGGTTGTTTTCTTGTAGACGTTTCATTACCCAAACTAGGACTGATAATGTTACCTAGTTTGGGTAATGAAACATCGGCAAGAAAACAACTAAGCTCAGAGAGTACCAAGGACCCCTAATTTCAACCTTGCTACAAATATTATCTTTTATTGGTATTATGGTAAGGCATAAAAACAGAATCTTGAAAGGCTTCCAGTTGCCCCTTTTCTTTTACAAAATAGGCTCAAGGCAGAACTATTTTGAGGTCCTTTCTTACACTTTTTCCTTTCCCAGGATTAAGTTGTCTCTTACCTTGCCTTATTTCTTCCGGCATACCTTCTGCACATACTTCTGCATTGTATCCTCAAAGGCCTAATCCAGCACATATGGCAGTAAGATATAGAATTAAAAACATTTTTAACATGTTAAAGAAAGGCACACCTACCATACAGCATATAGGACACTGAGGTTTGTAGGACAGCGACTTGCGAATACAGAGAGAACAATCTGTAGGAAAAAATATACACAAAAAAACATAAGCAAAACAGAGCAATCTAACAACAGTACAAATTGTGAAATTGGATTTTCCATAGGCAAAATGTGATTTATACCTTTCAAAATGTCTTTCATTTCATTAGCACAACTTTTTAAAATCTTTCCTCTGTGTCCAAATGAGTGAGTAAATATTTCTCACAATGATTATACTCACAAAGTGGAGAAGAGGACATTACATACAGCAGACCAGCAAATGAAATGAATATCTTATTTATTTCAGATATTTCTTTGCTGCTTCAATCACTATTACTCTACACAGTTCGCAAAAGTGATAAAAATTCAGCATTAGTATAATAATTATAAAAACAATCTTAATCATGAATCATTAATAGCAATAGCACTTAGGCTTATATACTGCTCTATAATGCTTTACAGCACTTTCTGGGTGGTTTACAAATGTCAACATATTGTCCCCAACAATCTGGGTCCCCATTTTACCAACCTCAGAAGGAAGGAAGGCTAAGTCAACCTTGAGCTGGTCAGGATCGAACTCCAGACTGTGGTAGAGTTTGCCTGCAATACTGCATTTTATACTGGGTTATTATATATACTGGTTTTTTTCCCTTATGTCCTCCAGCTCGATTTAATTACCTTCTCACCCACACCATTATTCCTTCATTCCTGGCCCATGCTATCTGCTTTATGCTATCCTTTCATTTCTCCATTGTTCTTTTGCCTGTCTTTGCCTCTAGAGATGGCATCCAGCCCAGGCTTCACCACCTCCTTTAACATGCAACTTAATCCTCCTCCAGTCTGAAACTCAGTCCTCCTGGTGACTACTCAACCAGGTCAGCAACAAACACAAATTCACTATTCTTGGCAACTTAGGTCATCCCAATTTCTCAAAAACCAGACTCCATTTATTAACTTCCGAAAACACCTTTGCCTATGATTTTTCCAAATCTGGAATTTTTTGTCTGTCATCCTTTCAGTCAACAGTCACTCTGTCTAGCTCCAACAACAACCAGATCATTGCAATCTCACTTATTTTTTTTCTGTGGCCCCAGTTTTCTTTCATTACAAACTGTTGTTGTTGCTGCTATTATTACTACTCAACATACCTACTATCATTTTTTATAAATTCCAACTTTCTGCTGCTGTCTAGAAGTTCTGATTTTTGCAGTCCAGATCTGAAGGACTAGTCTTTATGCAACAAGTTAATCATATAATTTTTGAGTTTTCAGACCAACACACCTAGAATGGCTGGGGAAAATCCTAATCTTTTAAAAACTGAATATCCCTAATGAAAGTACCAAAGCACAGTTTTCTGTATGAAACAAAAAACAAATCAGATTACTATGAAGAAAGTCCATGTCTCTAAAATTAGCCATTTTTTAAAAAATCAAATAACAGGTCATGTGTTAAAAAATGTAGTAGTATCACATTAATGATACAAATAATCAACATGTATAATTATCAACCAAGCAGCATAGAAATATACTTCATTTGTCAAGAGAAATATTATTTTGGCCAGTAAATTATTATTATTATTATTATTATTATTATTATTATTATTATTATTTTAATTTCTATACCGCCCTTCTCCCGCAGGACTCAGGGCGGTGCACAGCATATTAAAAACAGATACAATAACAATATACAAAAATAAAACCCTTCTAAAACCAAATTAAAAACCAAATATTAGAGGCTGTGTTCCAATTAAAATTATACTTAAA